TTTCCCTCTTTTCCAGTGATACCTGCCATGAGCTCCTAGGCCATGTCCCTCTTTTGGCTGAACCCAGTTTTGCTCAGTTCTCCCAGGAAATTGGTCTTGCATCGCTTGGGGCATCAGATGAGGCTGTCCAAAAACTGGCAACAGTGAGTGTTTCAGTGCCTAGTGATCCCACTTAAAGCTTGGCGCTTCATTTGGCTGATCCCACTCTAATTAATTTGGAGATTAATTTCAATATTAGCTGCACAAGCTGCTAGACCTGACTCTTAGCTTTAGAGCTAGAGTCCAAGTTTCCATGCTAGGAAAAAAATACATTTTAAGAAAAATACCTGTCACAACTTTCTTACTTCACTTAGGTGAAGTAAGTATGCAACTTCTAGGGGTAGATCACTTCTTCCAGCTTGAAATTCTGTAGTCTGTTTCCTCCAGAAAATATCTTTCTGCTTCTAAGAACAGAGATTACATATAAAATTATTGAACTGTTACTTTAATGTGTTAAATGAATTGAAATATTGTGTTTTCACTGAATGTGAAACTAGCACTCGGTACATTTCAACCAAGAAATTCAAATAAATAATGCAAATTCATCTTACTTCTGGGATAACAGTTTCTTGATGCTTTGACAGAAATATTGAAAGATGAAAACTTTACATGAAAAATAATTGATTCCAGTTACAAAAGAACTGCCAGTCATAGCTAGTGGTAAAGCTTCTGCTACCTTTAGTGAGACCAGAAGTAAAACATCTAAGAAAATACCATTCCTTGCCACATACCTGCAGGAATCCTGAAAATCAGGAAACTAAACATCTTTCAATTTTTAGACCACTAAGGAAGAACAGTCTGTATTGGACTGATGCTTTCAATTAGTAAAGTCATGCCTATCTAGTGTTTCTTTTAAGCTGGATCTCTCATGTCATTACAGTGCTTCTCAAAACAGATTAAATTGCCACATTTCTACTGGGATGAGCAGCTTCTGTCTCAGCTATGTTATCAGATTTCTTATTAGAAACACATAATCCTGTGGTTCTTCTCACTTCTATTTAGGTTCCCTTTGCTTTAGATATCTTAGAACGATAACCAAGTAATGACTTGCAAGTGTTCGATACTTCTCAAAGTAGAAGGGTCCCCATCTAGTTCACCACAAACCCTTTGCTGAAGGATGAATTATTTTACTCCCTTCTCTGTTTCAGTGCTACTTTTTCACTGTAGAGTTTGGCCTGTGCAAGCAAGAGGGACAGCTAAGAGTTTATGGGGCTGGCTTGCTCTCTTCTATTAGTGAGCTCAAGGTAAGAATATCCACTGCTTAGTTCCCTCTTTACTTGGCTCATACTTGAGAATTTTTGTTGCTGTTCTGCCATTGTTATTTATCAGGTATAATTCTTAAAAATATTCTGAAAATACCTACTGTGGGGATGACTTCTAGGTGAGTTCACTGAGGTTAGTCACAGGGCAGTGTGCTTTTGGGTATGTGCTGAGCAGCTCCTGTGTCCTTCTCAGGAAGCATCAGATAATTGATGTATGTTCAGTTCCAAGTAACCTATTTTCAGAAAAAGACTCTACTGTTTTAACCGGATTCTGAAAATCTTGATCCTGTTTAAAAGCAGCTTTGCCCCATATTGGCAGAACACAATCCTTCAGAGATACTGTTTGTTATGCTTGAGCCATTGTTCAGCTGCAGACATGTTTTAAGAGGTAATGCACTAAATATGGTCTCACCTCATCTTTTTTTTTTTTTATTATTCACTTCTTAATCTGTGTCATCTTCCTTGTGGATTCTTTTGGTGGCAATATTCCTCTGGCACGTGATAACAAATGATGTTACTTAGCACTCGCTCTCTGGCAGTGCCAAAGTCAAGCCTTTCGATCCAAAGGTCACCTGCAAGCAAGAATGCCTCATTACAACTTTCCAGGAGGTTTACTTTGTTTCTGAAAGCTTTGAAGAAGCAAAGGAAAAGATGAGGTATGCTTTTTCTTGACTTCCTTTGTTTCTCAGTGGCAGGACCAGATCCTTTCATTCTTATCACAATTTTATAATAACCTTTCATGGGGCTGGAAAGCTGAGTTTAATATTTAGTTGGTCTCCCATGTAGTGGTTGGGAGAGATGATGAACTTTGTAGTAATTATAATGATCATTAAGAAAGTAAGTGGTTTAGAAAAGTCATTACTGATACTGACTGCACACAAAGGATACATTTGTCTTCTGATTAAACTTCCTCTCTTTTTTTTGCTTTAATAGAGAGTTTGCAAAAACCATCAAACGTCCATTTGGTGTGAAGTACAATCCATACACTCAAAGTGTGCAGATCCTGAAAGACACCAAGAGCATTGCCAGTGTGGTGAACGACCTACGTCATGAGCTGGACATTGTTAGCGATGCCCTCAGCAAGATGGGCAAGCAGCTGGAAGTTTAACATTCCCATCATCCGCGTTGTGCACTCAGCAACTCTTTTCTTTTCCCCACTTGTCTCTTTCTAGGCATGTAACATCTTGTATGCAGAACTTTACTAATGGAAGAGTGAATAGCCCATAAAGATAATCACTTTAACTCACTTTAACTTATTTTTCTGTTTAAAGTCCCTTACAGAATGTATTTCCTTCACCTCCTTTCCCTGCGGGTAAACAAGTCCTGGAGTTGCCTTGGAGAAGCTAGCAGAGGAAAAGAAAAATTACTAGGCTGGAGCAAAACTGTGGTCTGTGGATCAGGGCGAGGATCAGATGCTTCAGAGAGTGGCTTATGAGGCAATTATAGAACAATTTGGCACAGGGAAATGTCTTTCTGATGCTAGTAGTCTGTGCTGCTAATTTTACAGTAGTGTAGACCTTGTAACATAGAAGCTATAGTAACCAGTGCTTCTAAGTCTGTGCTATTAAGTTTAAATATTCAGATTTAGAACTTGAATGATTACAGCTCAGGTACCAGGACACAAATATCTGGAAGTTCATTATGACAAAATGGAGGGATCATATCTCCTTTTCATAGGGATCATTCTTGCTCCCAAAGAATTGCAACTGTACTGACTGGTGTGTTTGTAGTAAAAGGCAGAGGTACAGAGCTGTTATATGAAAGCCTAACTGATTATTTCAAGATATTTTCTGTCACCTCAAAGAGTTTGGACTTTTGTTGCTGTCTACCTGAGGGAAGATGCTAAGGAAATATCATTTGCCCTTTTCCTCACTGAATAAGTTTAGCCAGGATTATAGCAAGCCATCAGGTTCTGACTTAGCACAAAGCCTAAAACCATTTCAAAATTACTGTCCTATATCCAAAGTAGTTTCACAGGACTAAGAGAAGTCCAGTGCTGAAGTAACACCAGAATTTAAAATAAGAGCCAAAGTTTGTAGTCTCGTAAACATCCCATTGATTGCTCAGCCCCTTTATTGACCTTGCAAACTGCATGAAGATAGATTTAGCTTCTTCCTTGCTAGGCCTGAACACCTATATTCCCCATCAAGCAAATAAATGAAAGGTAGAAATATTTGATAGAAATCTCCATGCCTGGAGGTGTTCAAAGCCAGGTTGGATGGGACCCTGGGCATTCCAATCTGGTGGGTGGTGACTCTGTGCACAGCAGGGGATTAACACTGGGTGGTCTTCAAGGTACCTTCCAACCCAAGCCATTCTGTGACTGTGATCTTGTGGCTATAAACACAAATATATATACTTTCAGCTATGAGATTTTATTCCAAAGAGCTCTTTACGAATGTTGGGAAGCAGTGGCCTGCTGAATTGTCTGTATAGCTTAGCAGTAAACTTGCCTGATTTCAGGGCTGCATATTTCCAAGCATCCTGTATAGCTGTATGGAGCTGTGCTGTCTGCCATTGCTGCCAACCCTGCCTATGAAGTTACTTTATGTATGTAGAGGGTGTAATAAATTTGAATTGATGACTTGTGAAGTGCAGGGTATATTTAATAGCATGCTAGATCCTGGTTCTCCGCATCTTGTTCTTACCAGAAAATCCAGCTTGCAACTGTGGAGGTCGCTGGAAAAATGAACTGGAATCATAAATACAATGGTCTAAGTCATTTGGGAATTGGAAAGGACTTTCAAGAACCTCTGTTCTTGGCACTCCCCTTGTTTCATATGCCTTCCCATAGGCTGCAACTGCTTTGTAAGCTGTCTTTCCAAATACATTCACTATTAAATCCAGTCTAGATAATTCACCTATGACTTTATTAATCCACCATTGCTATTATTTTTTTCTAAGAACATTTTGGATGCATGAAAATGTGGTCTATGGCTTACGTTACACTTTTAAGTAGATGTTAGGAGCTTCCTCTTTCTGAAGAAGAAACCTTCTGCTTGGAGTAGCAAGGGAGGATGTATAGTCTGCTTCTGTGCTAACAATGAACATTCAGCTGCATTTTAGAAAATGATAGGATTGTTATGGTGTTGGAATTCGGGTTTGTGTTACTTGAAATCTTTGAGCTACACTGTGACTGGCAGACCTCACACCTGCTGCATTGGCACCAGGTATTGCTGGGGAAAAAATCAAACAGAAATGGTGTCTTTATTTGCATCGGTGTGACAAAACATGGAAGCAATCCGCTGTCAGGAATGTAGAAAAGGTGCATTTTCACACTGTTAACAACACGTACCTTCAGCTTCACACATCCAATCCTTCTGGCTAGGTAGAGTATTAATAATTTACATATTTCAACCTGTTGTGGAGGCTTTAAATGTCAACTAAGTAAACCTGTACCGTCCCTGCTGGTAATTGGTAGAAGCAGGTAGAATTTTCCTTCACCACTTCAGCAATAAACACAAACCGCTCTGACTGAGGCTGTGTGTTTTATACTGCGATGCGGGTTTTCTGCACCCGTGGCTTCATTCCCTTGCAAGCTGTACGCGTTTCTGTGAGAAACGATTCGTTTTCTCCCTTTCTCGTCTTTCCTCAGGGCTCTGTGTGTGACCGGCCGGGTGCCCAGCGGAGCTGTTTGGATGCAGGCAGGCTGCTTTGGGCTCCGCGTGAGCAGCACGCAGCCACAACGGCGCCGAGCTCCTCCGAGCGCAGCAACCCAAATCCAGGTGCTGCCGCTCCGACCGCCTCCAGGCGGGCGTTCGCGCTGAGGCGGGGCCCCGTCCCGTCCCGCCTCTTCCTCCCCGGCCGCGGCGGGAAGGGCGCGAGCCCCATGGAGGCGGTGCTCCGCGCGTGGGTAGGTGGGCGCGAGGGCTGCGCGGGGCGTCGGCCCGCCCTGCGGCCGCGAGATGGCGGCGGGAGGAGGGCGAGGGCGGGGGCAGTGCGGCTCCTCCGGCCGGGCTGCGTCTTGCGGGTCTGCCCGGCCTTTGGCACGAGCAGCGTGAGGGCGGGCTTTACGAGCCTTCTAGAGCAGTAGGGCGGGTAAACAGACGGGCTCTGACAGCCGGTGCCCGCGTAGCTCGCGGCCCGCTGGTTTGCTGCTTCTGAGGCGGGAGCGGAGCGGCGCCTGAGGCGAGCAGCGCGCGGTGCTGCGGGCGGCTGCTGCCGTTCCGTGCCTCGTCCTGAGGGCGTGCGGAGTCCGCGCGTGTCGGACCTTCTGAGGAGAGTTAGCTGTCTGCACGCAAGCCAGCGCCGAGAGCAGCCCCGTGCTCCTGCCTGGGGTCGGAGCAAGTCCTTCGAGGAGCTCGGGGCAGCGGGCGAGGTGGGCTTGATCCCACCTGGGAGCCTCCAGCTGCGGCAGTGCGGGGCGCTGCTCGGGCTCTTGGTCTGCGGTCATCTCGGAGACCGTAAAGTGGCTGAGAAGCTCCCTGGGGCGTCACCGCCGTGCCACGTGTGTAAAAGCATGCGGGCACGTTCTTGTTTTGTCCACCATAAGGTAGAAGAATCACTTAATGATGGATAAGTGCTTCTGCTTTGTTGCTTTAGGTTCCGGGACAATGCAGGATGTCATTCTCACCTTATTTTGGTGTGTTTTGCTAGCATGAACGCTGTTAGCATCAAACAGGTGGCCCTGCTTGGTAAGGAGGCATTCAGCCTTGCCAGGTGTTAGCCTGCAGTTAGCCTTAGCAAGCATATTCCTGTATAGAACAGCGATGTTCTGTAGGATGCAAGGGTGGCCTTAGAGGCCGCAGATCTGGGACGGCCCAGCTCTGTAGTTCTGAGCACCTGTGTGATGGCTGTAAGAGTGAAGATTGTCCTTCGGGGGATTTTTGGGAGCAGATAGTGTCAGGTTAAGCCGTGCCATGTCCCTGATGAACCCGGTGGCTTGCAGGAGGAGAGCTAAGTGCATCTCTTGTGGTTAACTCTTTTTTTCTCACATCTTATTTGTCTGTGTGCCTTTGAAGGGTGCAAACAGCTATGGACAACTTGGCCTTGGTCATAAAGAGGATGTGCTGGTACCTCAGTCACTGAAAGATGTTTCCTGCAAATGTCAAGACATCAGGAGCATCACTGGAGGAGGGGGACATTCTGCAGTTATCACTGGTAAAAACATTGCTCTTGCAAGGAGCGTGTGACTTGAACAGCCAGGAGAAAGTGTCTTTCCTTTCTGGTGCGGTGCTGCCACCTATATGTGGCTTCTGTGTCTGAGCAAGTATCAATTCTTAGTTGTAAAACAGGTTCCCCCTGGGCCTATAACTTAATGCTTTGGAGAAATTCCTTTGTTTACTCATCTTCTGTGTCTGTTTAATGACTTTGTGAGGCTAATTCTAAACCCGTTTGACAGAACAGCTTTTAATACAAAACCGTTACTTGTCCTCTGTTGAGGATGAGGAGGGGAAGGAGTCAAATGGGATGTTATTCAATCTGAAGAAGTTTTAAGATAAGGAACAGAAAATAGCATCTGGTATTCAGAAGGTTCTGCTATATGCCATAGTTAATTATGGGAACAAAGGGATATGAGCATGCGTGAATGGTATGAAATTCTTCTGAAAACAGGTTCTTGTTTTGCTATATAAGCTGTCCTTGGCTTTTGACAGCTGTGCTTACTCAAAGATGTTTCTGGTGCATCAGAAGTAGCTGTCTCTATGCAATTCAGTGCGTTAAATGACACACAATTACTGTCTTTGTTGCAGTATCTCATTGCATATGTGCTTCTTTGTGAATTGTGCATGATTTTTTTTTTTTTTTTTTTAAATTATTCCAGGTGCTGGAGAGCTCTTTGTTTGTGGCCATAACAAAGAGGGGCAGTTGGGATTGAATCACACAGAAAATGTACTCTGTTTTACACTGTGCGCTGCCCTGTCTGGCTTCTGCGTGCAAGAAGTGGCCTGTGGTTGGGATTTTACAATCATATTGGGAGGTAAGACCGTCTTTGTAGGAGTTGGGGGAATATGGGGATGTGGAGAGCACGCTGACAGTTCACACTGCTGTTGCTTGTGCACTCACAGGTTTTAAGCTGCTTGAAAGCTATTGTGTGTGAGCTTCAGACCTTAACTGAACATTACGTGTAAAATCAGAAGTCTGTGGCTTCAGAGACCTGAGAAGGGGAGATGTTAGATCTTTTTTTTTTTTTTTCATTTATTTCACTGTGTTTTTGCCTATTGTAATGTTACAATACTTTGCTTTTGCTCAAAGTTACACTGATCGCTCTCTAACACTTTCTTTTGCAGGAGCTGGTTTTGTTCTGTCCTGTGGGTCCAATGCTTTTGGGCAACTAGGAGTTCCTCAAATTTCAGGTCCCTGCTTGATTCCACAAAAGATCGAGGTAAAGATTTAAGAGGAACTGCTCTATAGCTCTGTACAGTATGTTGCTTACAGCAATGACAAGGGTCTGGTGACCTGAGTGAGCTTTTAAGTTTGGCTCTTCAACTGTTTTAAAGGAGTCCATATCATGAAGTAAATTTACAGAGTAGACAACCAGTGGTGGTCTTTGACCCAGAAATGAAGTGCTACAGTTGCTTTCTTTTGTAGTGTGAGGGAGCTGCCCACTTACAACCGAAAGTTGTCTTTGTCCTTAGAGCTGAGGATGTTTCATTTAACACATCTGCAGAATGAGTCTGTTCAGGTTTTGTAAAGTGATGCTAAAGCTAGCGAAACCACACAAGTTTACTTCAGCTGCAGCTTTACCTCGAGTCTGTAAGAGACTGGATAGGTTATACACTTGCAGGCTGTTCCTACCTTTGCTGTACCTCATTCAACATTTGTGACTCACAATTTGAAGGGTACCACATAGAACAAAATAGGCCATCAATAATCCCTCCTTGAAAAAAACAACTCTGTGTCAAAGTTCAACAAAATTAGTTCTGTCAGTTCTTTTGATGCTTTATTCCCGAGCATTGAGTACTGTGATGTTATTACTGGACATAAAATCCTTTAGATAAAACCAAGCTTAGTTATTCTCAAAATAATTGGAGAATGGGAAAGTATGTAGCTGCAGGAAAATGAGAAGTAGTAAAACTAAAACACTTGAGTTTTACTGCTTTTGAGAAGAAGATAATTTTTACTTTTTTCTTGTGGAGGAACAGAAAAGTGCATGGACTCATTTCTTGTTTAACTTCTGGTATTTAACAATCAATAGCAGCTTCCAAGGAAAGAGGACAGAGAGTTAGCTAACAGTTTCTCTCTTGTCCACTACCTTCAACTGTATTGTAGCCTCAAACTGTTTGCTTTAAAATGCTTTAAGTAGTAAGAACTGAGACTTCCATATAAAAAAAAAAAAAAGCAGCTTCTTTAGTGTTGGCTGTAAGCCTAACAGTGTAAATAAATTTCTCACACGAATTCTAATTAATCCCTAATTTACACTGTAGCTTCTTATTTGAAGAATGCTAATGAAATGCTTTTACATCCTGATAAACTCTCTGTGTAACACAAGTGATAACATGAGAGCAGAAAGGACTCTCAGACAGGAATTGTAGCCTCGTGACCTATGCCAGCCACTCCTCTGTTGTGTGTTTTAGATTTGGTGAAAGTCTGGTTAATGTAGGGAAGGAAGGACAGCTGGTAGTCCTCTAGTGAATAGGGGTTACCTCACCTCATGCTCCCAGGAAACAACAAGGGTACAGAACGTCAACCCAGTGTGGTGCCTTAGAAATGGTGGCAGTGACAGTGTGGACCATTGTATGGGAACTGCTGAATCACGGCCTGAACCTCTGATTGATCACCTGAGGTGAGCAATGAGTCAGCCATGGGAGCACAAGTGAAGGCAATTCACCTGTGCTGCTGGAAGGGGTGGAGCTTGGCTCCACTGCTCCTAGACCCATTTAAGAGCTGACTACCAATGGAGAAGGTTCTCTTCTGGAGATCCACTCCACTGGAGTTTCCTAAGCGAGCCTAGGATATGGGTAAGCATCCCTATCTTTTCTGTTTTCTGCTTTGGTGTAATAACTATGTAGCCAAGCTCTCTGCTATACTATAACATCTGTATATTCATTGATTGTACAACCATTCATTCATCTGAAATATTTTCTTTTGCTTTGTGTCCTTTTAAGTGCTTGGATTGAAGTGAAGCATGGCTGACAAAAATTAGTAGGAACATCTTCTAAAAACAAACAGTAATACGTTGGTATGCATTGTGATGTGCAGGCTGGAATCAAGAGCTGTTTTCACTGTGCCCCACAAGTGTGTTCAGTATATTCTGCTTTTAGAGGCAAAAATAAGAAAACATTTTTTTTCTTTTTTTTTTCTTTACTCGAGCAGTCCCTCAAAGAGAAAGTAGTGGGTATTGCTGCAGGACTGAGACATGCCCTTGCTGCTACAGGTAAATATGTTATTGTTTTCTCATTTCTGGAACAAATGAAGAGTACTTTTAATGCCTAGTGTTTTAATGGTTTAGTTGGAGGGCAAAAAAAAAAAGTGAGTTTTAGCTTCTATTTATACTTGTGCAATGAGAATGTAGTTGTTGTCTAGAAGGATAGCCCTGGTAAAGTCTGATTTTGGCACAAAGAGCATGCAAAGTGTAATTCGAATCGGTGAAAATGAATGTGCTTTTAAAACTAATTAATTATTCACTTGAGTTAAGTGATTTTATTGGTGGTTATTGTGTTTTAATCTATGTGTGTTCACTCTGGGAAGAGAGTGGTTTGGTGTTTCAGTGGGGAACTGGCATGGCGTCTCGGGCAAAGCGTGCGCACCAGGGGAAAACCCTCCCTCTGTTCTGGACTGCAAAGGAACCCTGTGAAATAGAAGGTAATCCTGGAGTCTGACTTTTTTGTCAAGGTGATGGAGCTGAAGTATATTTTGCAGTGATATGTAATGTTTCTTTTTATGAAGCTGCTTGGTATTATAAATATGGAGCATCTGAAACAGAATGGGCGTTACAAGTTTATAATCTACAGGGAAAAATGATACGGAGTCTTTTAGCATCTGTGACCCAGATGCAGGGGTTTTCATTATTAAATTCATTGTTATCATACAATCATACACTGATTCATGTCTGTGCACAAAATTACATCTTCTGTACAATTTTATAAGACTAATTTTTCCTTAGGCCTGGAAGATGTGAAGGTGAAGAGAGTTGCTGCAGGCTCCTACCACTGTGTGTCTCTTACAGGTAGGCCTTAGGTGAAGGCATAGAAGTCCTTGTCTCAACATATAAGGGGGTCCTGTGCTTTGGAAGTGTCTGTCAGCTTTGGCTTGGCTGATCAATGTGTTGTGGCATAATGCTGGTTAGCCATCCTGTAGTGGTTTTGGATTCTGGGAACTTCCATCTTAATAAGACCTGGGTTCGCTTGTTAAATTCTCTGAGTTTTTTGTATTTTATTCACGGGGTTGGGTTATGACACAGCCCTTAGAAATAAGCAAGGATCTGTGCTCTTAGTGGTTAGAAACTGCAGGGATTTGTGAAAGCACTTGGTTGCATAGATCTCTGCAGCAGCAGTGCTGCATCAGGTGGCTGAATGGGTGAGCACTGGCCTGAGTGCAACCCTTTGCCGATGGGAAGGAGTGTTAGGGAGCATTGTTGTGAAAGGCTGCTGTGGCTGTCCACCTCCTGCAACTCGGAAGGTTGGCTGTGCTGTGCAAGGGCATGAGGTCTTTGGTGGCTCTGCAGTAACAGCATGCACATACACCTTTGTGAAGTGGCGTAAGAGCTCCAAGCATATTAAAAGTAGTGGGAAGTTGCTTTATCACTTAGGCACCTTCATAACTTGGGCCATTTGTTCCTTAGGCAGTGCTCCTTCTCTGGGTCTTAAGTATCTGGTAATGCAAGTGTAAGAAAAGTTGTTTATTTTTATTTCTTGGCAGATCAAGAGATGGGGAAAGAGAATAGCTTTTCATCTGTAAACTTACGGTACTGAAATGTGGGAAATATATTGAACCATATGAAAACAAATCTTTACCAAATTTAAGAAGGAGTTCTTAGCAAATATGCAGCCATCTGGTACCTCTGCCATCATCAAATGGAGTGCTGCAGAGCTTGCTTATGCAGAGAGCTGGAGTTGTATGGGGAAACATTAGATGTGAATTACACTGAGTTCTGAGATGCAATGTCTGTATGTGATTAGTGAAGAACTGGCAGGACAAATAGAATCTGCTTTAGCTAATTAGCACTTTCTGTGTCTTTAGAGTGAGCAAATTATTGTTTCATGCTTTTTTTTTTTTTTTTTGAGAGCAATCTATTTGGCAACAGGGCAACCACATCTAACAAAGTAGATGTCAAAGCTTTCAATAATGTGCTAGTATTGCTGCCCTTCCTCCTGTATTAGTTTCTAAGGATTCCTATTTATTTAAGTTACTGTTGAGTGTAGTATTTATAAAGTGAGCTTCACTGCGGATTTTTTTCTAGGGATTTTCTGCTGAGCAATGCAGTTTTCTTGGGCTCTGTCCCACGAGCCACCTGCTGGTAGGGCACTAAACACCAGTCATCTGGAGGCTTTTGATAGAAGGGTTGAAGTGTATTGTTGCAAGCATTATTTTTTCTTTTTATCAATAAATAAAGGAGGCAGGGGGGTCTGAGCAAAACTTTGTGTTACACATTTCAATCTCCAGACTTTCTTGGCCTGTGAACGTGTGCTTTGTGTGTGTGTGTGACTTCTGTAGCTTGTGCAGAATGAACTGACTTCAGGAGGCCTGACACAGATCGCGTTCTGCTTATTATGGGTTATGTTTTTTTAACATGGAGGTCTAGAACCTGAGCTGAATCATCTTGTACTAAAAAGATTGGATTAATGATAAATAGTATCTGCAGGACTCATCTGAACACTTACCTCGTTACTGTCAATTGGCTGTTAGGCCCTGAGCATCTCCAACTTGTATTGGGGAACCACATGAAGCAAATGCATGCTTCTGTAAATATAATTATCCCTGTGGGTGGAATCCTGGAGTGTGTACTTGCATAAATGCTGCTTCTGCAAAGGGAGTGGGGGAAGACAATTACACAAGTCTCTTAGCAGTTGTGTAGTAGTGCTTTCAGACATGATAATACTTTGATTTTGCTTTGTGATGGGTAGTACCTGCTTTACCTATCTGTTCTTAGCTGTGTGTCATATTCCTTTAGGAAGTGACTGAGTAGGGTGGGGTAGGGAGCATTAGACCATCCCTGCTTTTGAGGATTTACTGAATATGCTCAAGCTGAATTCAGCAGCAGAGCTACAAGTGGAGCTGGGAGCTGTAGCTCCTGTAGAGAGACTGGGAAGACTGTTCAAGCTTCCCAAGTGCTTGAGGGGAGTTGCGTTATCTGCTGCTCTTCAGGTTATTTACTGAGCTGAGTCTAAGCTTTGGGCTGAAAGTAAAAGCTGGCCTGCAAGGACAGAGTGGGCAGAGAGGGTGTGCTCAGTGAACAACCTCAAGATACTTTAAGCTTTTTCTCTAAGATGTTTACTACTTTACTTAGTTCTCTTATAAAACTTTGCTGTAGAGGTGTTTCAGCCATCTTTGAGAAACTCAGAGTAGAAATGAGGTCTGGGTGGTTTGACCCCAAAACTCTGTTTGTCTCGGGAAGTCAGTGTAGCCCTTGGAAAACACATTTTGTTGTTAAAACCCTGGCAAACATTTCTGATACTACGATTACAGTGTGTGTGCATGTCGTAAAGACACTCTCCTTTCCCCAAAATCACTGAGCTGAGGCAAGTGATGCATCTTGTGTTGTTCTGTGTCACTTTCAGCTTATCTTACTTCTTTATCAACTGCAGGTGAAGGACACCTCTATGTCTGGGGTAGCAACAAACATGGGCAGCTGGTGAGCAAAGAGATATTTCTTGTTGAGCCGAAGAAGATCGACACTCAGTTTTTCTCACATGAAAAGATTGGAGCAGTTTGGAGTGGTTGGACTCACTTGGTGGCACAGACAGGTAGGATGTGTAAAAAGCAGCCAGATGCGGCAGCAGATCTGTAAATAGCCTACACTACATGCAAACTGTGATTTTACTAACATTAACTGAACGCAGGAATGAGGGAGAGGGAGAAGGTAATCCTGAACAAGCGTCTGCCTGAAAAACATGGAGAGGGTCATAAGTAACCAGGGAATGGCTCATACCTGAGTCTTAGCTGAGGATCTAAAGATCCACCAGAGCACAGTTGTGCTAATCTTTTTATACTTTAAGACTGAGCGTACCTTTGGTGCTGCTCTTGCTCTTTTGTAGTAGGGTGCTTAAAAAAGAATAAAATAATGTGTTCAGAAGAGAACCAACCTGAGCTGGTTTAGAGTGCCTTGCTTTTATGGTCAAACTTGGAAAGTGTTTAGAAAAGATAAGTAAAAAGAGACCTCATTAGTTCAAAAAGCATTACCATAAGATGAAATGATTTTGTTGAACCTGTTCAGCTGTACCTTCCTGGGAATAGAAAATGCGGAATATTGCTGCATGCAGAAGACTTGTAGGGTCAGATTCTTTCCTAGAAATAGATAAGGAAGGCTGTGTACTAATGACATCCATGTGTAAAATAATGATTGATCTGATGAAGGTCATTAAAATGCATTTGCATTGCTTCTCTGTTGTGAAATACAAAGGTAGAAGAGAAAGGTAAAGCATCTGAAACTGTTTTGCTGTTATATGTGAATAGTATGTGCAGTTTATTTCTATCTGTACTGAGGTATGACAATTAAGATAATCAAAAGGATTATTATTTTATAAAACAAAAAGAACAACCAGAATTAGATTTGCAGGGGTTACGTATGTTTGTTTTAGCTTGTGCAGACTGCCAGGTAAGGAAATGAAGAGTAGATGGCTACATTTTTCCTAGAATTGTGTCGGAGATTTAAGAGGATCTGGTCTGTCAGGATACAACCAGTTCATTAAAAACCTGCAGAGGGGCCACAGATCTGTTGTTATTACTGGATTCTGTAGTTATGGATACTGGTTCAAGGAGTGCTTAGTCTCCTTGGTCACTGTGTGCTCAAACGTCACAGTGTGCTGAAGTGTGGTATTAAATTGGTGCTGTAAATAATGAAATGGTCACACAGTGATGTCCTTGCTCTGTGAGAGAAGTGCCTGTTTTAATTACAGTGTACTGTGAACTCTTGGTGGTAGGACTTGAAGAGATGTGATGCATGACTGGAAAAACAAATTGGTTAATCATTCTGTTTCATGGTGTTCGTTGTTTGACATCAAAGTACGTGAGAGAAATGCCACGTTAAAGGCATTGCTCTGCCTGCCCTCTCAGCTGTTTGAAAGCTCTGAACACTGATTTTTTTTTTTTCAGAGGATGCATACTGAAAATTTCTTAGCTGGAGTCAATGCAATGTACTGCTTGGAAACATTTCAGGCGGAGTGGGAATTTCTCTCAAAATGCATGATTCTTGATAATTAATGTCACTCTCACTGGAATAGAAATGGTGGAAGAAATGACATTAGTCAGGACAGCCTATTTTTTAAACAGGAGGTCTTGTCAATGTGGTTTGCCTGGCTTCATTATTCCTTATAATAATGTATATCCATGAAATAAAACTTCCCTGAGGTTTTAGAAACTCCAGTATTTCACTTATTTATCCATGGTCATTAAAGAACTGAAGGGAATATTCTAGTAGGTGGTTTTAAGATGGGGAGGGTAGAATTCTGCTGACTGACTAGCAGAGGTACTTTTTTTTTTTTTTGGTAAATGTTTGAGAGGGATTGAAATAGGCTGGCTTGATGTCTGCATCAGAACTGGCCAAGTGGTGTAGTGCTGTAAGTTATTGCTGTATTTAGAATTTTAAATCTCTTTGGAAGTCAACGGACCTGAGTCTTAAATTATTTGGAATAAGGTTTTGAATGGCCTTTGGCAGCATCCAGACACAAATCAGAACCTTATGGGACTTCCAAAGGTTGCTCAACTGCCAGATGTAGTGTGAGCTAAGCACTTAACTTGCTGAAAAAATCATTAATTGCTTACGGATAAACTTGCAGTTCTCTAAGTAACTGAAAATGCAGCCCAATTGAATGCTTCTCCCTGTGTGTCATTCTCCCTCCGTTATTATTACTGCATCTTAGCAAAAGAGGAAATGCTACTCCAGTTTGCTGCTGCTGAAGTTGCATAAACCAGTGCTCTCCAAACGACTTTGATCACAAATTGCTATCAGTAAGAAAAAAAAACCAACACAAAGCAGCAAAACTTTTTGCTCGTGCACCCCTATTCTAAGTGTACTTACTATTTTAGAGTATGTATTACTCTTTCTACTGTAGTGTACTATGCAAATTATATACACAGAGGTAGAAATTAAGGGATGAAATAAAGATGAATTGCAACTGAAAACACTACATAAAAACATTACTTTTGATGTTTAAATGTTCATTTGTAAATTCACAAATGTTGCCATTTCAAAATGACTCTTGGATCTTTATGTGCCAGGTGAGCAGTGCTCGCCTGCACAACCACAGAGCACTGAAATGGTTCAATGTGATGGTAAAAACAACCATCTGGAGGAACAATGGCTGTTGTAGTGGGTGCTGTGGATTAATACTTTTACAGCAAGTCTAAGTAAGTTATCAACTTATTTATCAGACAAGAAGGAACATTTCTTAAGCATTCTCTTCTTTAATATTAAAAGTTCTCCCTATTATGTAGATCATCCTGTTTCAAAAGACTTGCTTTGTTTTTTCTTTCAAACTATTGCCAAAACTTTTAATTGTGACTTAAAATACACAAAAAGCTTTTTTTAAAAAAACTTTTTATCTGTTTCTTCCCTGCTATGCCCTTATAAACGATTTCAACTTTTTCTGAAATCTCTCAAATGCATATATCTCTTTTAATATGTTTTGTTCTATCTCATTCAGCAACTGTGGTGAATGTTCTGTTTCCAGTCCCTCCTTCCTTCCTAGCTCCTTAGAGTCTGGTAAACTCTCTCTTCTGTTATGTCTATCATAAAATAGGTCAGTTTCAAGAAGTTAATTCCTGAGATAGGAATTGCTTGACTCAAGGAATTTAAGGAGCATTTTTGTAGTGTGTGGTGTTGTTCATCATCACCCTTAACTGATCCTATTCAGATCCAGTTCTTTTTAATCATAGAGGTCTCTTTTGGACTTTTTCTGTTGTACTGTTGTTCTGTGAAATGGTCCTGGTCAGTGATGGTTGGTCCGAAAAGATGAAGGGACTCTGCTTGTTTTTTGGTCTCTGATGATAAGATATGTGCTTGCTCGTGTCTTTAGTTTATTCATTATTTCCTGCATGAATGCTTATATATGTGACTTTCAAGGTGTGCATTTCTATTATGGCAGCACTGTTACTGCTTCTTAAGTGAAGTACAGACCACATGCATTCTTCTGACTTTGGACTCCGAGTGTAAGTTTCTCTTTACAGGTGACTGCTCTGTAAAATGGTTTGTCATGGCACAAGGAACACCAATGCCATGTATTTGATAGTGTTTTGAAGAATAGTCAGCTCTTTGCATATCTGTTTAACAATGTCTACTTTAATTTGTGGTCCTTCTCCAATTGACAGACACTTTGAATGTAGCAGCTGAAAGAGAAGCTATCACAAAAGTTATTTATAAGAGAGTTAAGTTGTAGCTTGTAATGCTGAAGGTTCCAAAGTAGGGAATTTGGAAAAATATAGAACTGATGTGAGTTGGAGGCCTAAAAACAGCAAGAAAAGACTTTTAAAGACTGAAAGGTGAATCCAACTCACTTCAAAACAAGTGATTTCCTTTTTAACTCTGAGATCTTGTTAATAGGCCTTCTTAAGGTGCCCTGTTTTGTTAAAGTGTTCAGAATATATTCTCTGGGCTATTTTTCATGTGACAGCACATGGAATGGTGCTCTACTTGAGCTCACATAAAGAATTCCAAACTCTCTCCCAGAAGGAATTTGCATTAAGAATGCAGTTAGAATGATCTATCTGCTTCCTATCTAAAACTGCCAGTGGCTAAAAAGTCTCGGGAGAACATACTTCAGACCCCTTAACATAGCCTGAATAATGTCTGGAATCCTTATTCTAAATGTGCTTCTGAGTTTGTGCTCCTGCAGACCTCCCTTGACCTGACATCTTTTAGTCTGCATGAAAGCACTGGTCTCATGGGCTAATGACCTACGTGGTAAAATAAGCTCTTCTTCTGTTTTTCTGAAGCAAATGAAAATGCATCCAAAGGCTGAGAACAGTCTGATGGAATATTTCTAATCAGAGGCTAGAAGAAGGGCTTTGTGCTCTAATTGCACTTGGGCTTTTTTCAGTCAGTAAGCAAAGCTCTCCAGCCTTGCTGTGAGTGGTGCAGTGGATGGAGCTGCAGCCAGGTGAGGTGTATGGGCGCTGCTTTCTGGTACCAAGCAATGCGGTGTCAGCCCACTAGAGGGCCTTTCCAGATTTCTTTTGAATCGAGGCTCTGCAGCCTTCCTGCTACTGGAAAGCATACATCTTTGCCTTGAAATTTTCAGCAGCCCCCTGAGTACAAATCCTGATTTTTTTTTTTTTAATTTTTTGCACCTTATCTGCTATACCAATAAGGCATCTGTTTTATGAGGACTCTTTTGTCCTTTTAGCTGCTATAGAGTGTTCTGCCAAAAAGAACTGCGGTTGGGAAATGACATTTTGAACAGTGAATAGTTTTGAGATCTTGTTGCAGTCATCTGAGTTTATTGAGTTTTGGTGTTCTGGAGCCTGTTTGTTTAAAACTAAGTCAAAATGCTCGTATTGCTGTTATCCCTATGAAAAAGAATAACAACAAAACCCCTTTCTTATTTTCCTTCTGCTTTTTAAGATCTATTGAATAGTGGCCATACCTAAGGGGTGGTATGTGTCGTTGTCTTAGTGGTTAGTGATAAAACAGCAGTGCTGCTTCTAAGGATCATCTGGATACTTCTGCTAAAGCAACACCACACACAGCAAGGTTAGGCACTTACTTTCAGGACTGAAGAAATGGAATGCTGGAGTGTATATTTACAGG